ATCAAGCACGGGCATTGCAATATCTGGTGGCATAATACAATTCGAGTAGGCATTGCGCAAGTAGTTCGTATGATAGTAAGGATGCGAAAGGGTGATAGGTGTAAGGGAAGTGGGATTTTGAGACCTCTTCAATGCTTCAACCACTGCAATGGCATGGACACAAGGGAGCTTATCTAAATCGAACCTGCGGCACGTATATATTTTCTCTGTCAGGTTAACCACATGCAATGTTGTCCCATGCGTTACTTGTGTTAGATGATCATCTATCTCTTGGACTCCGAACTGCTTTGCATCTTCAACTCTAACCTGTTATGGACACATACAATGATACATGAGTTCAATGATATCTTTTAGCATACAAAACAAAACTACCATGAAAACATACCGCAAGCAAGTTTTCCACTCCAGTGGTGAGAGATGTTTGCATTAGACTAGCAACTCGGCGTCTTTTTGCAAACCACCGTGTTAAAAGCATCCTAATATCCTCGAGTAGGCGAACAATAGGCTTACTTCTACCACTAGACAACACTCTATTAAGTGATTCAGCTATGTTGCTAGTCGTGAAGTTATATCTATCACCTAGGAAATGAGCACGACTCCACTTACACACATCAGCCTTTTGCAAATAATCATATAGTTGAGGATTCAAAGCTTGAATTTGTGCATAGTAGGCATTGAACTCTGCTACCGTATATGCTCTAGCAGCCTTTTTCACAAGGCCAAATGTTTCTCCCCCTCTGAATCTCAACAAAATATTCTTATACAAGTGATATGTGCAAATACCACGGTTTGCTAGGGGGTACACATTTCCTATGGCCTTTCCTATAGCTCTATGCCTATCTGGAATAATAGCTAGACCTTCATCATCTGGAATGACACAGTGAAGTTGTCTAAAGAACCATTCCCAAGACTCATCATTCTCAGTATCTACAACACCAAACGCTTTTGGAAATATATTAAAATTTCCATCTAGGGTTGTTGCGAGTAGTAGTGTACCTTTGTTTTTCCCGTGCAAGAACGTGCCATCTACCACAACAACTTTCCTCATGTATGGGAACCCAAAAATGCTTGCAGCAAACGCGACGAACATAAACTTGAACCGATCTTCATCATCGACATCAAGCTTTATAAGTGTCCCCGGATTAGCTCGCCTAATCATGTATAAGTAAGATGGCAGTTCTTCATACCCACTTTCCGAAGTTCCAGAAACTAACTGTCGTGCATATTGTAGAGCCCGATGTGCTTTCCAGTAATCGACCTGTAGAAAGAGAAACCCAACATAAATCTACCACCACACGTAAATCTACGTAAATAAATCTACCACCTTAAATAAATCTACCACCATAAATCTACCATCACATCACCGGGGTACATAAATCTACGTAATTAAATCTACCACCTCGAAGTGTACATAAATCTACCGGAATCCATAAATCAGAACATACTCATACCCTTACCTTAATTCCAAATCGTTTTGTCAGCCCATCGGAGACATGGTTTGACAATACAGAAGGTTCAACACCACCGACAAAGTCTTTATAGAGACATCCTAGAATCTGGTAAGTGGCATGGCGGGTACGAAGTGATCGGACAGTTATAGAACATGTGTGCTTGCTAACGTAAGTCTTAATGTAGAAGATTGAACCATCACCTACAGTTGAAGCACGAACTCGCCATGCACATCCTTGAACCCAACACTTTACCACCAACAATATTGGTGTTGAATATGCAACATCGTAGTCAAATTTTTTAATGACGCTCAGAATTTGCAGGCGCATAATCAAATCATCTTTTGTCTGGTAACTTTGGCCAACGGCTAAATCCATTGAACTGATCTCCATCTTAAGAAAATCTGGAATTATTGCAGGATTTATCTTTGGTGGTAGAGTTTCACCATCATCTTCTACATCAACACTTTCTCCATCCCTTGATTATATAGAAGTTCCATATTCTTCGTCATCAGAAGTAGCACCATCCGGATCTTCGCATCCATCATATCTGGTACTCAAGTCTTCGTCTTCCTCGTCTTCTTCATCTCGTTTTGCTTCTTCATGTTGTTGTTCTTCTTTATCTCCTCCTTCTTCATCGCCTTCTTCTTCATCTCCTTCCTCTTTAACAGTAACATCTCCTTCCTTCCTAGCAGCATGACGATTCTCTCCATCTGAACCAAATTCATCGGGAGTTTTTGATTTAATCTCAACACACATGCGAATCCGATCTTCTTTCAATTGCTCGAAAAACCCGTTCAACTGTCTATTATTTGCCACAAATACAGGAGGTGTATCATGTGGTAATCTTTGCAGTACCTCCTTGGACAACATGTAGCTTAATTCCACATCTTGATTTCGCGGATCCAAACCAAAATCTTCAAACACGATTCCCAGAAATCCAGCGAAAGAGGTTTTTTCATGTACCCGCAATATTCGACATCCATTTCCCTTATCTATGCCAAACCTCCATCGATTATTGTGAAAACTCCATTTTCCACAAACCAAAATAATTTGTTCCATTGATTCAAAATGACCAAGACCTTCATAAACCAGCTAAACAGAAATCGAAATAAGGATTTAAAAGAGGAAGAATAAGAAGAAGATCGAGATTTTAGTTTCAATGGTTGAACCAGATGGAGAAAAATGATGGAGGCGGCGATAACATAGAGTGGGTGAGGAAGATAATGTGATGTGTGGCCCCAAATTTTTGTTAATTTTTTTTTTTGGTTATTAAAAACCCTTTACTTTACTACTTCTCCTCTCCCAACTAACTCTTCTACTTCCACCGCCGACATCAGTCTCTGTCCGGGCACTCCGCCTCTTAACTCACTCTACCCGACGTCGGCAAGTTGACTCTACTCGAATCCGAGACTGCCAACTCTCGTCGGTAAGTATTCCGCTTTCTCTTCCTTTTCATCCGCCAAATACCTCAACTTCTGTGGCGAATTCACATCTGTTGTAGGTTATAGTTAGAGATTATCGTTTGAATCACTTTGTCTGAGGTTGTGTGGTAATTATACAAGGCCTCTTGCTGGTAGATTTACGTTAACTCTAGGTCTGTTAATAAGCCGTTGTTGTAGATTTAAAATTTATGCACGACCATTTTTAATCTGTTGTGGTAGATATACTTGGTTAGTTGATGGAATATTTATTTTATCTGCAGTTCTGACTTTATACGCTTCTCTATACTCTCTATGTTTCACCAAATAAGAGACCTACTTGGGGCGATTCTTCAGAGAGTGGGACGAGTTTCTGCTAAGGACGCATGTTGTGCAGCATGTGCGTCAAAACAACTAAACACATCATTAAAGGAACCATCTGTAATGCAAGCACTAAACCTATAAGAGTTCATTGCTGATACAACTTTGCTCCAACGATATCCTTACTTCTTCAATTTGGCTCTCTCATCAGACAATCCTCATGCATTATACCTGCACGGGATGAAAACAATAGCTATAGACCACGACGTTGAAAATTTGCTCAGATTTTTCAACAAGGCTTCCAAAGCCGGGATAGACCAAGCAACATTGATGGTCGCTGTTATCGCAACCGCATATGGCCACTATCCAACTGCAATGGAGATGTTGGAAAGAGTTGTAGGTTGGAGATCACGCATGCACTACATGATCGAACTAGGTGAAGAGGTTTCTCGAACCAAGATAGGAATGCAGAGTGCTACTGCAGATCTGTTTCCCAATGTTTTCAAAGTAGAAGAATTTTCAAGCTGCAGGTTCAAACACCCATTAATGTGTTGCCACGAGTGCTACCTTTTTTTTCAGTACCAACTGCTTAGATATCAGTTTTAATAGCGTCTATTTTCTACTATGGATCGCTTTATCTATCTCTATGCACTTTGTTCGTTGAACGTCTCTAAGTACTTTCTTTCTTTAAGAACTTCTTCTCTATGTACTTTCTATAAAACTTTGAAATGTAATGAATGAGTCTTCAACAATCGCAATAGAGGTTGAATCTCTTCACTGCAATATTCGCATTCTTATCACGTCCAAAATCAACATCCCATTGATCAACATTTGATTTCAACGTTCTTCACTGTTCAGTACCCCATGAAAAGTCTACCACTACGCAATCACGATTTGTGAAAAAAGTCAACTATCTACCAGCACATAATAAGTCTACCACCACCTAACACGATAAATCTACCAATGATGTTATTCTGGTAATTATGAAAAATATAAATCTACCACTACAAAAATAAAGTAAATCTACCACAACAGCAAAATAACTCTACCAGGATTCGTTGACACTAGAAACTCTACCATCAACAAAATAACTCTACCACCAAGTAAATACAAAATAGGAGTAACAAAAATCTACCACCACAAATACTAAGTCTACCAAATAAAAATAAATCTACCATGCCCAAAAATAAATCTACTGCCATTCAAAGTCAATGAACGTAAAAAGTCAACCAATCAGCCTTTGGTAGGGTCGGAAAAAAAAAATCTTCCATAACATATTTTTAAGTCTACCAAGTTCCCCAACAAATCTACCGTTCAAGAAACAACTCTACCGTTCCCAAAAAATCTACTGCGTCATAACCACTTCAGCGTCAACAACAAGTCTACCACACGAAACAAATCTACCAACCGTTGACCAGACGAAACAAATCTACCGTCAAACAACTCACTGACGTGGCAAAGGAAAAGTAATGTTGTTATCAAATGCTCTAAGGGCATAATCGGTACGCTAGGTTAGTTCAGTAATTAAAACAAATTTCAGCTATTCTAGCAAATAGACCTATTTAAAAGAGTATTCTAGTAATCCTCCCAAGTGTTTATTCCCTCAACAAAATCATTTGAAATAGATTTTCAAGTAGAATCTGAAAATCAATTATACATCAATTCTCTATATTCTAAGAAATTAGACATTTTTGGTGTTTGTGACTTTGTTTTTATGATTTCACAATGGTCAAAATGCTTGCATTTATATTGATAATCTGCGCCACGATTAGCACGACTCGGTTGTAGCCCATATCGAATAAATCTGCATTTATTCCCGGCCAAAGCTGTATTCTGCAAAAATTATGAAAAAAGTTGATAAGACTTTTTGTATCGATTTGTCACGAGATAACCTCAGCTACAACTAGCCACGACATGTTCGTGTCCATATATAAATATATGCCGACATAACATAGCTACAAATTGCTATGTTATAAATTTGTGGCTAGTTGATAAAATTTTAAAATTAACGGGAAAACTTGGTAGTTACGAATCTGTTTGAGGTTATTTGTGGCTAAATAGACACAAAACACATTTGGTTCTTTTTTTATTAACTTGATCATATCACAAACAAGACAAATCATCACTAAATAGCAATCATGCACACAAGAAGTTCATTTGATTTTGTATATCTAATTAACTTAATCATTTTACAAAATGAGAATACTCATGACTACAAACGAAACTAACGAATGCAAATATGTTGTTCAGAATATTAAGAACAGAAACTTACCATAAACCGCCATTGAGCTTTCGTGGGTGGAGACATGGCATGTTTCGTCTCTCTCGAGCACCCATGACTGCCGCCAGGCTAGGAAAAGGATGTCGGGAAGCCGTGGAGCTAGCTGGCCTTGTTGCTCCAGGAGGCAAACGAGTTTGGTGAGAACGACTGGAACGCTGTGTTGAAGGGCCTCGGAGATTCATCTACAAACGAAAAAGAGTGATAAAGATCAATAGAGACAGAGAGATTTTGTGAGACAAGTGGAAACGAAGTTGAATGACGGAGAGAAGAAAACTACAGTCAAAGAAACTATAGAGAAAGAGAGGAAGAGACAGACAAACCTCAGCTTTGTTATCGTTGGAGATGCGAACAGATCAATACAAAGAGAGAGACAAGATCTAAACTTGAAGAAATGAGAAAGTAGAAAGATCGATACAGAGAGACAAGGAGTTAGAGATAATTATCTTTGGTGGCGGAAGAAACAATGACGAATCTCTAAATATCTAAAATTATAACAAAAGAACCAAATTTTAACCGGGAAAATAACTTTGGCGGCCAAAACTTAAGCGGGGAACTGAAATTTTATGAGCAATTTTTTTTGATTTTTCCATAGCCACAATATAATGTTAGACAAATCGTGGATATAAACTTTAAAATTAATTGAAATTAGAAATTATTTAGTTTGATAATCAATTTTTAATTTCTATTTATTTTAAATTTTGTTTTTATCAACTTAAATTACTTATATGAATTTGAATTTTGATAAACATGAACATAAATATATTAATATTTAATTAAGAAATAATTCAATTACATTGTACAATCGGTCATATACGAATTTTAGTTTGAATCTGAATCAAAACTTGAATCAGAATATTCATGACACTCATCTTCTAAATCACCTTCAGAAACATATGCATCATTAGGATTATTTATCGATATAGGCTTATAATCATCTGATATGTCTTGAATGCATGGGTTTCAACCAGCATAATATTAGTGCTTGTTACTGCTCTATCGAGAATGTCATCTTGAAACGCAATTTGAGAAACTTCTCTGATTTCACGAAACCCCCTTGGTATAACTTTTGTCGTTGCCCATCATTCCTCTCTAACTGGACACAAGCATGGATAAGGAATGTAACAGACTTGGTCACATTGCTCTGGTAATATGAAAGGATCATATTTATCGTAATACAACTGGGGACAAACATCGATAATACCAGATGGATGCTTTCGTATTCCTCGCCAAGTGTGGTGTTCAACCATTCGCATTTAAAAATCATGGCTTTTAGCCCAACGGCACCGTGATACTCTATCATGAATATCTTCGATCAGGCCAAAATACTCCGTGTCACCGGTTCCATGAACTCACACACCATAGTTCATCGTTAATAGGGCTCATGTTTTACCCAAACAATTTACTACTGCAAGTGCGCAGCAAAGCAGTTGTAGTATAAGGGGTTATCGATTCCCAAGGGAGTATGTAAACTACACTAGCGATTTGTAGATTTAGATTATGCTAAGCAATAAGTAATGAATGTAATGTGAAACAGCAAAATAAATGCAAGCGGACGTTTTGTGCTTGTTCTTAAAGTTCAGAAAGCTAAAGGCCCTAAGTCAAGATAATTCGTAGGTTGAATCCGAGACTATAGAATGCATGCAATCAGGAATGAATTAAAACCGTCTTGAACATGAATCGCAAAGGTATAACTAATCAATTCTCATTGCAGAAGTTAGCTATGCCTAAATCACAGAGTTTCAAATCTCTTTGCAAACCCTAGCAACCTAAACATGCAGTAATGATCAGATTCAATTGTTCACAAAACTCCTAATCCAAATCTCTTTGCACTAGGGTGTTTTGCTCATCTAATACTAGTTCAAGTGATTAATAATGCTCTCACATCTATTAAACAACCTAGGATTTCAAAACACAGATGATGTGTCTAAGAAATCGATATGAATGCAAGCACAGATGAAGAACCAATAGTTTTCCTATAAGTTTAGCAATTCTACAAATTCTTCTTCAACCTTTGAGAAGCCATAACTTAACTAACAAACTACTCAGACATGGAGAATGAAACAAACATCATGAAAAGAATAGATTGTATAAAAGAAATACAAAAAAGAAATAAAGGAGTTCGAAATCTGCTTTGAAGGAGTCTGATTTGTCACTCCAAAAGCTCTTCTACAAATCTCTCTCTAAAGCTCTCAAAAAGAGTAAGATACAAGATATCTGCCAAAAGAATGGCTGAAAAACCTAATATACAAGGTAAAACACGATCTGGGGCCTTTTTACAAATACTGGAACTTCTGGGCCAAAACTGCAATTTCTTCCCAATCTTTTAAAAACCAGGCCACGACTCCTTCCTCTAGGTGTGACGAGCGTCACCAGCTTGGTGACGAGCGTCACCCAAATCCATACTTTTCTTCCGAGTTGCACACTTCGTGGCTTCATCTTGCAATGCTCCAAAAAGCTTCAATATCTCCAATTATGCTCCAGACATGCTATAACCTGCAAAGTCTCTAATAGGACTCTAAAAAGACCAAAACGACTCAATAAAAAGGATATATACCATGGTTAAAAACCATAAAAACCATGATATATCAACTCCCCCAGATTCCGATGTCACCAGGGGGTGACGCTCGTCACTGACCTGTGATGATCCTAGAGCCTCGAGTTGGTGTAAAGTTGGCTGGATTCAGAAACTGCAAAATTTTCATCTTCAAACTCCATCAGTTGCACGATTTTCTCTGCACTTAGCCTCTTTTTCTGCATTGTTTCAAGCTCTTTTTCACTCCTGACTGTGATGACATTAACTTGGTGCTTAGGATTGATATCAGTCCTTCCAGGAAGGAATCCCTCTTGCCTTTGAACAGCTCCTGCAGTTTGAGCAACCTGCACATCTAGCTTCTTCATATGAGAGTTCAGACTCTCAATTTTTCCATTCAGGTCTTGGTACAGCGAATCTAGCTTGCCATTGAAGTTCACTGTCATCTTCAGCTGTCCTTCAAGTATCTTCTCCAGCATAGCTTCCATCTTAGTCTCTTGTGGAGGTGTAGTTTGATAGGAAGAAGAACCATAATTCCTGCTGTTTTGGTAAGGTTTCTCAACTTCAGTCTTCTGGAACTGTGGCATTGGAGTATAACCAGTTGCATTCTGGTTTCCTAGGAAGGTGCTCTTCTGATTGTTGCCATTGTAACCTCTGTTCCACTGTTGATTCCCAATCCTTTGGTTCTGAAAACCTCAATTGATGAAGTTAACATCCTTTTGCTCAAACTCTTCAGGATTTTCGAAAGACTCCACCTCTGCAGCGAATTGGACTGATTTCTTTCCCACCAGAAGACTGTGCATACTGTCTAACTTAGCCTTAACCTCAGCTATTTGGTTTCCTTCATTCAAACCACCCTGTTTCATTCTCTGAAAATCTGCATTCTTGGTGCCGTTGCTGCAGTCTAAGTTTTCAATCAATCTGATTGGTTCTTCTGGTCTGTTGGTGTTGAAGTTTCCAGGACTAGCTGCATCCAGCGCCATCTGATACTTCTAGTCAATGCCTCTGAAGAAAATCCCAAGCAGCTGCACCTGACTGAAACCATGATGAGGACAGTCCCTTTGATAAGACTTGAATCTCAGCCAAGAAGCCTTAAAAGCTTCAGTAGGACCTTGAGAGAATGATTCAATTTTCGTCCTCAGGTCCTCTGATCTAGCATCATCATAGAAATTGTTCAGAAAGGCATTCTTGGTGTCCTCCCAAGTAGTTAATGAACCAGGCACCAGTTGCTTCAGTCAATATGCAGCATCTCCTCCAAGTGAGTAAGGGAAAAGCTTACAGAACAGAAAGTCATAGCTAACACCATTAGCTTTGACACTTGAAGCTAAGTCCTCAAACCTCTCAATATGATCAATGGGATGCTCATGAGGTAAGCTATGGAATGGATGGTGTCCCACTAGCTGATAATAAGCAGGCTTAAGCTCAAAATCATTCCTCTGGAATGCAGGAGGGCGGATGGCAGCTCTGTTGGCATAGAACTGATCAGGTCTGTTGTAGTCTCCTAGAGTCCTCTGTACAAAATGCCCAACAGCGTTGTTAGCAGCAACAGGGACTCCAGCGTCTTGTGCCACTTGTTGAACCTGCTGTTCAACTATGACATTCCCATCTTGATCCAGTCTCTGCCCTTCTTCATTCCTCCTGTTTCCCTCTCTGTCAACCAAGTGACCTTCTGCATCTTCAACCAAGATCAGTGGATTAACCATTGTAGATTGCTTCTTAGCTTTCCTGATGGTCCTTTCTAACTTAGCTAGCTCGTCGATTCCTAAGGTCAAAAGCTCCTTCTCTTTGTCGCTTCTGGTACTGCGATTATGCATACACCTGAAACCAGCACAAAGAAAAGTAGCAGAAGGTTAGTAAACAAATTAAAACTTAGACAAAATCCTAATACTAAAAATAGATAGGCAGCTATTACTCTCCGGCAACGGCGCCAAAAACTTGATAGAGCCAGGTTTTACCCAAATAATTTACTATTGCAAGTGCACAGCAAAGCAGTTGTAGTATGAGGGATTATCCAATCCCAAGGGATTATGTAAACTACACTAGCGATTTATAGATTTAGATTAAGCTAAGCAATAAGTAATCAATGTAATGTGAAACCCTAAAATAAATGCAAGCGGGCGTTTTATGCTTGTTCTTAAAGTTCAGAAACCTAAAGGCGCTAAGTCAGGACAATTCGTAGGTTGAATCTGAGAGTGTAGAATGCATGCAATTAGGAATGAATGAAAACCGTCTTGAACATAAATCGCAAAGGTATAACTAATCATTTCTCATTGCAGAAGTTAACTATGTCGAAATCACAGAGTTTCAAATCTCTTTGCAAACCCTAACAACCTAAACATGCAGTAATGATCAGGGTCAATTTTTCACAAAACTCCTAAGCCAAATCTCTTTTCACTAGGGTGTTTTGCTCATCTAATACTAGTTCAAGTGATTAATAATGCTCTCACATCTATCAAACAACCTAGGGTTTCGAAATCCAGATGATGTGTCTAAGAAATCGATATGAATGCAAGCACGGATGAAGAACCAATGGGTTTCCTATAAGTTTAGCAATTTTACAAACTCTTCTTCAACCTTTAAAAAGCCGTAACTTAACTAACAAACTACTCAGACATGGTGAATAAAACAAACATCATGAAAAGAATAGATTGCATAAAAGAAATAAGAAATAGAAATAAAGGAGTTCGAAATCTGCTCTGAAGGAATCTGATTTGTCTCTTCTACAAATCTCTCTCTAAAGCTCTCAAAAAGAGTAAGATACTAGATATCTGCCAAAAGAATCGCTGAAAAACTTAATATACAGGGTAAAACACGATCTATGGCATTTTTGCAAATACTAAAACTTCTGGGCAAAAACTGCAATTTCTTCCCAATGTTTTAAAAACCAGGCCACGACTCCTTCCTCTAGGGTGGTGACGAGCGTCACCCAAATCCATACTTTTCTTCCGAGTTGCACACTTCGTGGCTTCATCTTGCAATGCTCCAAAAAGCTTCAATATCTCCAATTATGCTCCAGACATGCTATAACCTGCAAAGTCTCTAATAGGACTCTAAAAAGACCAAAACGACTCAATAAAAAGGACTTATCCCATGGTTAAAAACTATAAAAACCATGATATATCAATCGTCTTTATGTTTTGTCCATGGTTATGTGTATGATATTGGTATCCCCTCGAATAATACATAGGCCATGAAGTGAATTGATGTTGTGGACCTTGTACAAACTCAAGCATCCACAGTGGAAAATCTTATGACTCACTAGCATCGTTAATCTGCAATAGTTTTTAAACTTTTAATATAGATAAGATAGAAAAAATTAAGTATTAAATTTTAACTCTTACGTAGTTTTTACACCACTCTGCAAATTGTTCATCTTTTGCTCTCGTCATTGCATCAGATGTAATATTTGGGATATTAAACGTCATATACTCTTCAAACATCCTGCATATAAATGTATGTATAATATATATGTATGGATTTTATATATTAAATTATAAAATATTTATTAAATATAGACAACAAAATATACCTTTCATATGGTGTAAATTCTTCAAGGTTGAGTAGTAAAAATGTTTGGAGCACATTATAGTCCTCGTCATTTAACCACGCCTTTGTTGATTTGCCACTGATTCTTCCTACTTGTTGGAACATGATCGGAACATCAGGATAATTGTGGGTGAATCGTACTTCGTTGACATCATCTTTGGGGTCAGAAACTTCTGAGGAGACAATATAATTAGCTGTTACGTATGATATCTCCTCGTTCACACACTGAGCAACTATTGATCCTCTAATCCGGGCCTTGTTTTTAACCTTCTTTTTCAGATGATACATGTATCGTTCAAACGAATATATCTACCTATATTGCACCGGACCACCTAACGAAGCCTCGTCTAGAAGATGCACAGGTAGATGTTCAATTACATCAAAGAACGACATAGGAAATATTTTTTCAATACTGCAATGCTTCATGGCAATATTTTCTTTTAATATTGCAACATGTTCGATCTTCAGAACAAAAAGAAGAGTGCATTATGTACACATACATATAATAAAAAAAGTGAATAGCATTAAATAAGTATAAAATAATTAATTTTAAAATATTTCATACCTGAGATTGCCGTGTGAACATTTTTGGGAAGAAGCTCTGCAAATGCAACTGGTAGAAGTCGTTGCATGATGACATGACAGTCATAGCTCTTTAAACCTGTTATCTTCTCACTATCCAATTTGACACAATGTGAAAACTTGGACACATATCCATCTGGAAATTTGATATCATTCTTCAACCATGTCAGAAATTTTTGTTTACCCTCCTTTGATAATCTGAAGATGGGAACAGGCACTTTTCCATCTTGAGTAACCTCTAAGTCGGATCTTCGACAAAATGAAGAGAGATATATTCTTGATTTTACGGTATCTTTTGTCTTTCCTGGAATATTTAACACTGTGTTGATGAGATTGTCGAAGAAATTTTTCTCATTATGCATGAAATCAAGGTTGTGTTTGAGAAGTAGATGCTTCCAATACGGTAACTCCCAAAATATACTTTTTCACCTAATTTTGGTGAACACCATACCCCTCAATTTCTCTAGCAGCATTGTCATGTCCTTTGCCTCTACAATCAACAGACTTAAAAAGTCTGTGAATGTTGTTTATCCTCTCATGAAGAATTTCCTCCCCGTTTAATTATGGCGGAAGATCATCATGCATTGTTTTCCCCTTTAGAAAAGCTCTCACATTCCGCCTATAAGGATGTTTGAGAGGCAAAAACCGTCGGTGACAATCAAACCAAGAGTGTTTTCTTCCATTTGGCAACCAAAATGACTTTGTCTCATTCATACAATACAGACAAGCCAATCTGCCATGCATCATCCATCCAGATAGCATACTGTATGCAGGAAAATTGATGATCGTCCACATCAAGGCAGTATACATCATGAAATTTTCCTTCCTCGAGACGTTGTATGTCTCAATACCATCACTCCATAAATTACGTAATTCTTCAATCAACGGTTGATGATAAATATCTAGACTTTTCTTCGGATGGTTTGGCCCAGGAACTAATATAGAGAGAAAGAAATATTCCTTTTTCATGCACATCCCGTGAGGTAAATTTTATGGTGTTACTATGACGGGCCAAACGGAATATCATTGCCCATTCATACCAATGGGATTAAATCCATCAGTTTATAAGCCTAGATAAATATTACGACTCTCTGAAGCAAATGCAGGATATACCTTCTGAAAATGCTTCCATGCTTCTCCATCTGAGGGGTGATGCATTTCTCCATCGGGGGACACATGTTCTGCATGCCATCTCATTTGTGAAGCTGTCATTGTTGATTTATATAATCGCTTCAACCAATCTGCAACTGGTAGATAAAAGATCCTCTGTTTTGGTATCTTCTTTCTTGACTGACCCACGTTTGGTTCGTACTGATCTTTTCCATAAAACCGACATTGAACCAAGTCTCGATCTTCTTTCTTCCAGAATAACATACAATTATCTTCACAGACATCAATCTTATGATGTGGCAACCCTAGAGACCGCATCAACTTCTTCGTCTCGTAGTATAATTCATGATCTTTATTGGGCGATGGAAGTACATCTTTAAACGTTTGGGTAACATCAGCTAGGAAGGCCTCTGAGAGATTGTATGTGGTTTTCCAGTTCATCACTTTTGAACTTAGATACAATTGAGAAATCCCATCAGCACATCCTTCATAAAGAGATTGATTTGCCGCTTCTAATGCCTGGAAAACACCATCATGAGTTGCCCCGTAATCTTGGTTATTTTCTGGAAAATTGACACCATCCGAAAACATGTGAACATCTTCAATTGAATAATGATATTGATCCACCGGAACTTGAATATTTGAATAATCATTACATGCTTCTTGGTCGGCCAAGTGTTGACTTGATGACGCTTCACCACCAAAGTAGCAATTTTATCCATGATGTGTCCACACATAATTATTTTCTGTAAATCCTTTCAGGTAAAAGTGGTTCGTCACGGTATCATAATCATTACGCTTCTAGTTCTTGCACTTCTTGCACGGACATAGTAAATCATTACGCTCAACATAAGAGTTTTGATTGCAAGCAAAAGAAACAAAAGTGTTTATTCTCTCAACAAAATCATTTGAAATATATTTCCGAGCAAAATCTGAAAATCGATTATACATCCATTCTCTATATTCTAAGAAATTAGATATTTTTGGTGTTTGTGACTTTGTTTTTATGGTTTCACAATGGTCGTTCTGCTTGCATTTATAATGATAATCTGCGCTACGACTAGCCACGACTTGGTTGTGGCCCAGATCGAATATATTCTCTGCTCATATTCCCGACCAAAGCTGTATTCTGCAAAAATTATGAAAAAGTTGATAAGACTTTTTGTATCGATTTGTCAAGAGATGACCTCAGCTATAACTACCCACGACATGTTCGTGTACGTATATAAATATATGCGGACATAACATAGCTACAAATTGCTACGTTATAAATTTGTGGCTAGTTGATAAAATTTTAAAATTAGTAAGAAAATTTGGTAGCTACGAATCTGTTTGAGGTTATTTATGGCTAAATAGACACAAAACACATTTGGTTCTTTTTTATTAACTTAATCATATCACAAACAAGACAAATCATCACTAAATAGAAATCATGCACACAATAAGTTCTTTTGATTTTGTATATCTAATTAACTTAATCATTTTACAAAATGAGAATACTCATGACTACAAAAGCAACTAACGAATGCAAAGATGTTGTTCAGAATATTAAGAACAGAAACTTACCATAAACCGCCATTGAGCTTTCGTGGGTGGAGATAGGGCATGATTCGTCTCTCTGCAGCACCCATGACTGCCGCCAGGCTAGGAAGAGGATGCCGGGAAGCCGTGAAGCTAGCTGGCCATTTTGTTCCAGGAGGCAAACGAGTTTGGTGAGAATTACTGGAACGCTGTGTTGAAGGGCCTCGGAGATTCATCTACAAACGAAAAAGAGTGATACAGATCAATAGAGACAGAGAGATTTTGTGAGACAAGTGGAAGCGAAGTCGAATGATGGAGAGAAGAGATGTACAGTCAATGAAACTATAGAGAAAGAGAGGAAGTGACAGACAAACCTCAGCTTTGTTATCGTCAGAGATGCGAACAGATCGATACAAAGAGAGAGACAAGATCCAAACTTGAAGAAGAAAGTAGAAAGATCGATACAGAGAGACAAGGAATTAGAGATAATTGTGTTTGGTGGCTGAAGAAACAATGACTTAGATTATTAGGGCTTTTAGAGACTTTAACCAAAACAATTGCCGCTAAATCTCTAAAATTATAACGAAATAACCAAAGTTTAACCGGGAAAATAACTTTGCCGGCCAAAACTTAAGCAGGGAACATAAATTTTATTAGCAATTGTTTTTGATTTTTCCATAGCCACAATATAATATTAGACTAATCGTGGCTATAAACTTTAAAATTAATTGAATTTAGAATTATTTAGTTTGATAATCAATTTTTAATTTCTATTTATTTTAAATTTTGTTTTTATTAACTTAAATTACTTATATTAATTTGAATTTCATAAACATAAACATATATATATATAATATTTAATTAAGAAATTATTCAAATTATATTGTATAATCTATCATATACTAATTTTAATTTGAATCTGAATCGAAACTTGAATCAGAATAATTATGACACTCATCTTCTAAATCATCTTCAGAAACATATTCATCATTAGGATTATTTATCGGTATAGGCTCATAATTATCTGATATGTCTTCGAATGCAAGTGTTTCAACTCGCATAATATTAGTGCTTGTTACCGCTCTATCGAGAATGTCATCTTGAAATGCAATTTGAGAAACTTCTTGGATTTCACAAAACCCCATGGTATAACTTTTGTCGTTGCCCACAATTCCTCTCTAACTGGACGCAAGCATGGATAAGGAATGTAACAGACTTGGTCACATTGCTCTGGTAATATGAAATGATCATGTTTATCGTAATGCATCTGGGGAGGAACATCGATAATACCAGATGGATGCTTTCGTATTCCTCGACCAAGTGTGGTGTTGAACCATTCGCATTTGAAAATCATGGCTTTTAGCCCAACGGCAGCGTGATACTCTATCATGAATATATCTTCGATCAGGCCAAAATACTTCGTGTCCAGGTTCCACGAACACACACACCATAGTTCATCGTCCTCCTGTTTTTGCCTTGGTGATTTGTATGATAGTGGTATCCCTTCAAATAACACATAGGCCATGAAGTGAATTGATGTTGTGGACCTTGTACAAACTCAAGCATCCACAATGGAAAATCATATGACTCGCTAGCATCGTTAATCTGCAATAGTTTTAAAATTTTTAATATAGATAAGAAAGAAAAAAAAGTAAGTATTAAATTTTAAATCTTACGTAGTTTTTGCAACACTCTGCAAATTGTTCGTTTTTTGCTCTCGTCATTGCGTCAGATGTAATATTTGGGATGTTAAGCATCATACGCTCTTAAAACATCCTGCATATAAATGTATGTATATTATATATGTATGGATTTTATATATTAAATTATAAATATTTATTAAATATAGACAACAAAAATATACCATTCATACGGTGTAAATTCTTCAAGGTTGAGTAGTAAAAATGTTTGGAGCACATTATAATCCTCGTCATTGAACCACGCCTTTGTTGATTTGCCACTGATTCTTCCTACTTGTTGGAACATGATCGGAACATCATGATAAGTGTAGGTGAATCGTACTTCGTTGACATCACCTTTGGGGTCGGAAACTTCTGAAGAGACAATATAATTGGCTGTTACGTATGATATCTCCTTCTTCACACACTAAGCAACTATTGACCCTCTAACCCGGGCCTTGTTTTTAACCTTGTTTTTGAGATGATACATGTACATTCAAACGAATACATCCACCTATATTGCACCGGACCACCTAAAGAAGCCTCGTCTGGAAGATGCACAGGTAGGTGTTCCGTTACATCAAAGAACGACCGAGGAAATATTTTTTCAAGATTGCAAAGCTTCATGGCAATATTTTCTTTTAATATTGCAACATCTTCGATCTTCAGAACTTTTGTAGATATATCTCGAAAGAAGAGTGAAATATCTACAAATACATATAATTAAAAAAAGTTAATAGGATTAAATAAGTATAACATAATTAATTTTAAAATATTTCATACCTTAGATTACCGTGTGAACATTTCTGGAAAGAAGCTCTGCAAATGCAACTGGTAGAAGTCGTTACATGATGACATGACAATCATGGCTCTTTAAACCTGTTATCTTCTCACTATCCAATTAGACACAATGTGAAAACTTGGAAACAAAACCATCTGGAAATTTGTTATCATTCTTCAACTATGTCAGAAATTTTTGTTTACCCTCCTTTGATAATCTAAAGATGGGAACATGCACTTTTCCATCTTGAGTAACCTCTAAGTCGGATCTTCGACAAAACGAAGAGATATCTATTCTTGATTTTACAGTATCTTTTATCTTTCCTGGAATATTTAACACCGTGTTGATGAGATTGTCGAAGAAATTTTTCTCAATATGTATCAAATCAAGGTTGTGTGTGAGAAGTAGATGCTCCCAATACGGTAACTCTCAAAATATACTTTTTTCACCCAATTGTGGTGAACTTGTTTCTTCCATTTGGCAACCAAAATTACGTTGTCTCATCCATACAATACGGACAAGCCAATCTGCCATGCGCCATCCATCAAGATAGCGTACCGTATGCTAGAAAATTGCTGATCGTCCACATCAAGGCAGCACGCATCGTGAACTTTTCCTTCTTCGAGACGTCATATGTCTCAATACCATCACTCCATAAATTACGTAATTCTTCAATCAACGGTTGAAGATAAATATCTTGACTTTTCTTCGGATTGTTTGGCCTAGGAACTAATATAGAGAGAAAAAAATATTTCTTTTTCATGCACATCCTGTGAGGTAAATTGTATGGTTTTACTATGACGGGCCATACGGAATATGGTTGCCCATTTATACCAATTGGATTAAATCCATTTGTTGATAAGCCTAGATAATTATTACGACTCTCTGAAGCAAATGCAGGATATACCTTCTGAAATTGCATCCATGCTTCTCCATCTGAGGGGTGATGCATTTCTCTATCGGGGGACACATGTTCTGCAAGCCATCTCATTTGTGAAGCTGTCGTTGTTAATTGATATAATCGCTTCAACCAATCTGCAACTGGTAGATAAAACATCCTCTGTTTTGGTATCTTCTTTCCTGACCGACCCACGTTTGGTTCGTACCGATCTTTTCCATAAAACCGACATTGAGCCAAGTCTCGATCTTCTTTCTTCCAGAATAACATACAATTATGTTCACAAACATCAATCTTATGATGTGGCAACCCTAGAGACTGCGTCAACTTCTTCGTCTGTAGTATGATTCAGGAGCTTGATTGGGCGATGGAAGTACAGCTTTAAACGTTTGGGTAACATCATCCAGGAAGGCCTCTGATAGATTGTATGTGGTTTTCCAGTTAATCATTTTTGAGCTCAGATACAATTGAGAAATTCCATCAGCACACCCTCCATAAAGAGATTGATTTGCCGCTTCCAACGCCTGGAAAACACCATCATGAGTTTCCCCCGTAATCTTGGTTATTTTCTGTGAAATTGACAGCATCCGAAAACATGTGAACATCTTCAATTGGATCATGATATTAATCCACCGGAACTTGGATATTTGAATAATTGTTCCATGCTTTTTGGTCGACCGCGTGTTGACTTGATGATGCTTCAGCACCAACATAGCAATTTTCTCCATGATGCGTCCACACATAATAATTTTCTGTAAATCCTATCCTTTATAAGTCGTTCGCCACGGTATCAGCATCACGACGCTTCTGGTTCTTGCACTTCTTGCATGGACATAGTAAATCATTACGCTCAATATAAGAGTTTTGATTGCAAGCAAAAGAAACAAAAGTGTTTATTCCTTCAAAAAAATCATTTGAAATAGATTTTCGAGTAGAATCTGAAAATCGATTATACATCCATTCTCTATATTCTAAGAAATTAGACATTTTTGGTGTTCGTGACTTTGTTTTTATGGTTTCACAATGGTCGTTCTGCTTGCATTTAGAATGATAATCTGCGCCACGACTATCCACGA